CTTTTGGGTAGAGCTCCACTTTAAGGCCATCAACCTATCAGCACAGTTGAAATTCATGCATACAAACTGTTTTACCTGCCAGAGCATTTGTAATTAATTTCAATCAGAGCTATTAGTCACACAATTCTAATTTTGGTCTTATATTTGGCATTTTAGCAGCTTTCCATTATCTTTAATCCACAACAATCTGTCACCCATGATTTTGATTAATTTTCCAATTTTGATTTACTAGAAGATCAAAATGATACATGACTTTCAGCACAGAAAGCACACCCAACCCTAGGGCCCCTCCATAACCCCCCAGTAACCCTGACCCTAAACTTCCCTATAACCCCCATACTTACCTTCCCTGTGTCCCTAACAGTATACCTCCCTGCAACTCTAATAGTACCCTTTCCTATAGTACTTACACTTACCTGCCTAGTAATCCTCATACTACTAATTGTCACATACCTGATAGTAGACTGAAATGATGAGATTAGCATCTTTTGTATCTCTGGCCCAAGCACTACGTGACTTGAGACAGAACGTGCCAAGGGGCAAGAGGGTGCTGACAGATGTGAATGGCAGAACTTTGGGTTGAAGATGCAGACTTGGATGATCCAGGAGAACATCTGGTCAGGAACAACAGGACTGTGAGAGGAGCCAACAAAGATTTAAGGAGATCTCCAATTGCACTGCAGAGTCAGAAGGCATTAGCACTCCCACTGAGCTTGCAACAGGAACACACTAGGGTTATCTGGGCTGCAGCCAGTGTAGGCCCTTGGTAATAGCATGGAGCCACATTGGAAATGGAAATCTAGTCCCATAGGTAGCTGAAGTTAACAGCGAGTAGGAAGCAAAGTACAGAATGATAATCCCAGAGTCATGATAGAGCCGAGGTCAGGAATTGTAAGCAAAGGTACAAGCAGAATCCAAGATTGAGTCAGGGGCAAGTCGGGTCAGTATCAGAAATTATATACAAGGCACCATTATGATATAGCTGAAGACCAGTCAGCACTGACACTGTGTTACAGCATCCTTAAATAGGCACCAAGGCTGATTCTGGGCATACATGCATGTCTGTGCAAACGCCATGATACATGTGCACAATCACGTTCACTCCTTCACACCCAGCTAATGTTCATATTGAAGTTTCTCAAAGCCAGCTGGCTAACAGGAATTTACTGATACTAATCCTCCATGTAACCTTTACACTATCCCACCCATAACGCTTTCACTATCCCTAGCTATGAGCTCAACACTAACTCCACACTAACACTACTTTTAACCCTAACACTAACCCTTCCTGTAACCACAACACTAACCCTCACTGCAATTCTTACATTAACCTTCACACCATTCCAGTACCTGTACCCTGACACAAATCCCTCCTTTAAAGCTGAATCCTGGGATAAGCAAAATTGTCTAAATATAAGTCATGTGTAGTATTCCTTGAATCTTGATGTGCTTTATGTATTTCTTTCTAGATCTATGCAGCAATCCAGTCTGAAACTTTACCTCTGTTCAGGAGCTTCCTGTAATAAAGACCATTCACTACTGCTCTTACTTGTGCAGGGTGACTGGTCTTGTCATTGCCCTCTCTGTAGGCCTTCCAGGGGCGGACTGACAAATGGATAGGGGATCATGGGGCCCCTGCGTCCTGGCCTATGAAAAAGGTACCCTCCCCCTACTGAACCTGGGCCCTCGGGCAGTGCTTTCCAAATGCAGAGCTCTGCTCTCTGCACAGGCTAAATACAGCACAGTGATGATGTTGTGCTGCTTTTTTCCCAGGTAATATCTGGGTTTGGAAAGGCATTTGGTGCACACAAAATAGGTTTATATCTCTTAAGGCCACTGAAGGAATATATTCCAATTCAAATTTTGGTGCCTGGAGTTCTGCATTAACCAAAACACTAATGTTTCCTGTAATATTCTGAGAACTCAACCCCTTGTTTACTTTCTTACTTTTCCTGTGCCGGGTTTCTCTATACTAGTCCAAATGCAGTTTTTGATATACAGTTGTAGTTTTTATTAATTAAAAGAATGGAAACAAGTCAATAACTCCATCCACATATGCTCCTGTTGATTCTGCTTGACTATTGCTGACAGTCCATTGGAAGCCCAAGGTAGATTTAATGTGTACAGGATGGAGCAGGGGCGGACTGACCATTCGAGCACTCGGGCACTGCCCGAGGGCCCGGGGTCAGTAGGGGGCCCCATAAAATGCCCCTGGTACCTTTTTATAGGCTTTTTTGGTGTGTTTTCAGTGTGGGCAAGGACACAGGGACCCCATGATCCCCAATTGCCCGGGGGCCCCATGAGTTGTCAGTCTTCCCCCTGGGATGGAGTGACTGATTGGCTTCTGTCACAACAAACACTTTTCTCCTGCGCTAGGAAAAGACTCAGTGGACCCAATACGAATGTTCTGGAATATTCTGGAATATGCACTGCTCGCTGCCCTCAACAGACCGGGGTGGTCCAAATACACTGGATTCAAATGGAGAAACAGAAAAAGGGCGCACTGACCTAGTGCATTATCGTTTAAAATATTTATTGAAGAAACAAAGTAAGAATCATACTCACAATAGACATAAAAACACAGGCATGTCAAACTGAACAAGATGTATGATCCAAACAACATCTGAGTCCATACGATGGAACCCTGTATGATACTTACTTTGTTTCTTCAATAAATATTTTAAACGATAATGCACTAGGTCGGTGCGCCCTTTTTCTGTTTCTCCATTTGATTGGCTTCTGTGCAGTGGTGAGTTTTGGCTTTGTGAAATGTGGTGCACCAGCTCTCAGCTAGACAGAGAATGTATGAAGGTGAGGGGGGGGAAGTCTCAGAATTTTCTAGAGCAGCCTTTCTCAACCTTTTTAACATGGAGGAACCCTTGAAATAACTTTGCGGTCACAGGGAACCCCTGCTAATAATTGCTATATCCAAAGCTCATGGTACATTAGTGTGATGGTCACTGGGGAGAAAGCTTCTTAGATTTGTGATCATTGGGAAGAATCCCCCCTTAAAGTTAACTAAAAAGATGATTGGTGTCATTGGGAATTTATCTAAAAGGAAGAAACTGCCCATTACTCTAGGAACCCCCGAGAAATTTTGGAGGAACTCTGGGGTACCACAGAACCCTGGTTGAGAAAACGTATTCTGAGCCCTTCAGTTCAGTGCCCCCTCCTCCTTCCAGATAATTTCCTACAGACCCGTATGCCTGTTAGAGTTAATACTTGTGCCTCCAGCATGTATTGCATTCATAGAAAAATGAAATCCATTAAAAATCTCTAATTAGACCTCATGACATCTAAAAATAATGATCTGCCGATAGAGACATTAGTGGCTTTCTGATATACTGCTGTGGTTTTTATGGCTTTCAAATATCTTTCACATTACTTCCTGATTCTTCATCAAGTCACTCAAACTGCTCCACTTAATTACTATCACAATACGCTCTCATTTACATGGCTGTAATCTGCTCCAATGAAAATAAATTTTTTTCCCCAACAAACATCGTGGAGATAAATTCATTTAGTCAATGAGCCGTTGAGGTAGGTAAGAGTCGTCTTACGGCTCTGTAACATCTTGGTGAGAGAAGGCGTGGGAGCCGTTAATCCCCGGAGGGTGTCATTATTTCATGTGAAGAGCAGGTTAAATTCTGCTTTATTGTGTTATACTCCAACAATTGCAATAAAACAATTGAAGTGATAGCATTATTAACCAAGACATAGTGATGAGGATCTGTTCGGTCTTCCCTTTCCTACAGAGGAGCTGGTGAGGAAAGAGAGAACAACTGACAGTTCAAGTCCCCATGCAACGTAGTTTTGCAAAATATCAGTGGCTAAAGAGTAACACAAATTGACAGAAGAAAACAATATTACCATTTTTTTCATATTGTTGAAGCACAGCTGCATTGAACATACTTCACAACTTTCTGAGATGAGAAAGGGAACTGATTTAACCAAAATGTTTGGTTAAACCAACTATTCTCAACTAGGGTTCCTCCAGAGACTACTAGGGGTTCCTTGAATTGATTGACCTCTTATTTATTGGTGTCTGCATAGCTCTAATGCCAATGTCACTTGAAAAAGCCAGCAGCATGACACCAATGATCTTTTTAGCTGTGTGTAAAGTTGGCATTCTGACCATCATTGGAAGGGGGGGCATACTTCCTTTTAATCCACCCGTAGACAGGTGCCTACTCTTTGGGTTTCAGGTGCCTCTGTTCTTGTATTGTATATGTGTTAATAAATCTTTGTAAGGTGAGTTGTCTGGGGGTTAGTCAGGTGTTAAGTCTGCTAACTCTTGGTTGTTCATGGTTCCTCCCTCTTGTGGTGGGCCATAAATACAAGGGCAGCAGCTCTACAGGGAGGGTGATACCTCCTCATGGGAATAAGCAAAGAGGGTGCTACAGAATGTGATCTCTACCTAGGAACGGCCATTCCCAAAAAAAGGTACCCATTCAGGGTGCTGAAGAGGACTAAGGACTTTATGGACGTTGCAATGCTCTGAGATATGAGATGGCAGCCTGATTAGGAAACAGGCTGGATAGGAAAGAGAGATAGAGTGAGGAAGATTTAACTGTAAAGAGATTGTATGCTGTAACAACTGAATACTTTCCCATAAACTTTCCAAATTAACTCAAATGTGCCTGGTCTGAAGTTAGTATAAAGGGGTTGCAAGCAGTGGAGTATTTAGGTTTTGTGCTGCCCTAGGCAACACAAAAATTGGCTAACCCTGCCTCCTCCCCCGCAGAGAGAGCCTGACACCAACCAACACCCCCACCACTCTCCAACTGCACACCCAAGAGAGCCTTCAACTACCACCACACTCCATACACCAGCCATCCCACCCCACCCCCAGCGAGAGAGAGAAAGACACTCACCTTCACAGCCCCAGACATCCCCTGGAATGAGAGTCAGGCTCTGCATACACCGTCAAGCAGCCTGAAGCCTCTCTCAGATCCCACATGGCCCCCATGCTGCGTGTGTCCCTTCTTCCATCTCTTCTTCCAGGTGGCAGTGCTGCCCCCCCTGAAAAATGCCAATCACAGCTGATCGCGTGTAAATATAAGGAAATGCCGGTTATTGGCATTTCTCTCCTCACAAGCTGTCACGCTGACAGCTCGAGAGGAGAGCCAGTAATCGGCATTCCTCAGAGGGGACATGTACACTGATCATCAGGGCACTGATGATCAGTATGCCCTGATGATCAGTGTAGCCCCAACAGTGCCACCTGTCAGTGTCCATCAGTGCCAGCTGTCAGTGCTCATCAATGCCACCTGCCAGTGCCCATCAGTGCCACATATCAGTGCCTACCAGTGCACATCAATGCCGCATATCAGTGCCCATCTGAGATGCCTTTCAGTGCCACCTATCAGTGCTGTCAGTCAGTGCTGCAAAACAGTGCCGCCTATCAGTGCCAGTCAGTGCCGCCTATCAGTGCCATATATGAGTGCTGCCTTTCAGTGCTCATCAGTGATGCCTGTCAGTGCCCATCAATGCCACCTACCAGTGCCTCCTCATCAGTGCCCATCAGTGCAGCCTATCTGTGCCCATCACTGCAGCCTCATTAGTGCACATCAGTGAAAGAGAAAAATCACTTATTTACAAAATTTTATAACAAAAACTAAGAAAAAACTTTTCAAAATTTTCTGTTGTTTTTGGTTTGTTTAGCAAAAAATAAAAAACCCAGAGGTTATTAAATACCCCCAAAAGAAAGGTCTATGTGTCTCAAAAAAATGATAACATTTTCATATGAGTAGTGTTGCATGACCGCGCAATTGTCATTCAAAGGGTGACAGCGCTGAAAGCTGAAAATTGGCCTGAACAGGAAGGGGGTAGAAGTGCCTTGTAGGCAAGTTGTTAAGGAAACAAAATTGGAAGCCATGCAATTTGAACAATAATACCTTTGACACCTTTAGTACATGTTGGCCATTAGACATATGCATTTTGTTTTGTAACAAATCAATTTTCGAATGATAAATGGATGTATATGAATTTCCGAATGGACATAGTAACGAATGTCAACTAAGCTGAAAAAAAAGTTATAACAATATTAATCAATGCATTTATTTCATTCTGATGGCGTTACATGAAAGTAATTTGGGCCCATGGGAAAATTAATTCAATTCTAAAATCTGTTTGATTATTCGGATTTGAGTAAAGTTGTGACTTAAAGGACAAAATTGATAACTGCGCATTTTTTGCAGGTAAAAAGATGTGCATGTATTGTTTCTTCTTGCAGGAGCCTGTAAAGCATTGCACCAGCGATCAGCAGATCCCTGGTGCCATGCAGGTCTCCTGCAGACCTGTCAGTGTATCTGCTTGCTCGTACGGGATGTATGGGCAAGCTGACATACTGACATGAAGAATCAATGATCTACCACGATGTTCCACAGCGCCGTATTAGTTCATTGAGAACTACAAGCCAACAGCCGCTAAGGATATTGGGACTTGTAGTTCATTCATTCACAGAACTCAATGAATGACGTGGCTGTGTGTGCGGAGCCCCGCCTGGCAGGGCTGTTTTTAAAAAGTGATAGCTTGTACGGGGAACTTCTCAGGGAGGGGTCGGTGGGTCGGGGGGTCAGGCAGCAACTACAGCATTGGGAACATGTTACATGTTCCACCCCAAAAATGGGTGGAACATGTAACATGTTCCCAAAGGTAAACATCCTTTACACTGAATTTGTAATCATCATAGTCAGTCAATTCAGTTCCACAGTCTAAGGCTAAGTTCACACTAGCTTTGTCAGCATGCGTTAGACAGGCGTTCGGGAAGCGTTTTTAACACTCCTCAAACGCCTATGAAAATTCTACATAAGGCAGCACATAGTGCTGTTCATATTGAAGCGTTAGTATCACGTCACAGCAAAATTGAGGCTTCATGTCAAGTTAGGATTTGAAGCCTCCCATTCAAGTCTATGGAACTTTTGAAACCTGTGTTGCATCATATGAAGGGTGGTGGGTATCTCTCAGTAGTGGCTCACAAGTAACATTCAATTCAACACTCAAACAAGAGAGTATCAGCAGGAAAGAGAGATCCCTGCTGGGATAGGAGTATGGGGAGCCAACTGATAGATACCCACCACCCTTCATATGATGCAACACAGGTTTCAAAAGTTCCATAAGTGAACAAAAAGTGCAGTAAGCCTATCATAGGCTAATAAGGAGGGAGTTTTTGGTTTCACAGCTATCCTAACCTCCAGAGAGGGAGCCTCCATTAGACCCAGAGGACTGCACCCACCTATCCCATTTAAGGGAACTCTGGAGTATCCTGATTACACTGTGAAGGAGAATAACAAAAGAGAAGCGCACCAACCTTGCGCATTACCTCAGTAACCAAAAATTTATTGAATAAAAGAATGGTACTCACAAACAGCGAATAAAAACAAGCATGTAAGTCCTCAAGGGGACTTTAGAGGCAAGATGCCAATGCGAATCCCGTCATGGAGGAAGCCACTCAGTACAGCTGACGCGTTTCGAAGGACGTGCCTTCTTCCTCAGAGCTCTTACACCTTAGAATCCATCTACCCACAGAGGAGAAGCACCAGATCCCTGCCATCACCCCATGATGACCTTTTGATGACATCAGGATAAATTTATAACGTGCATTTATTTTTTCTGGTGAGTGTGCATTGCTTATACACCTATATTCACCTTCTCCAGGAAGACACAGGACTAATGAGCACCTTGGTCACCTTGGTAATGAGCACCTTGGTCACCTGATGAACTTATTTATGATGTATTATGATCAGTGATACTTGATCCTATTTTATCATCATACGTTACTTTTATTACTTTCTTAGCGCCACACATCACTTTTATATTAATGCTATAGGAACGTTTGGCAAGAGTTAGAAATGAGTCAAGTGTGAACAGGTCCTAATGCAATTCTTAGGTTTGAAAAATTGGGGGGTGCCAAATTGCAAATATTTATTCTGTTGTGTCTGAAAATATTGAATAGTTTTGATACGTGAATAACGGATGCAAAATTTTTCTAATCCACCCAGACCAAAGAATATATGAAACAAATGATGAATATAATGAAACAAATTAATCGGTTCAACATAACGAGTATGACAAAATGAAATTTTTCAGTGAACAAATGCATCCAAAACAAAGCAAAATGAACATTTCTGGCCTGCACATGTCTATTGCCCAATATACCATATACAAGATCCATTCTATACTCTATTTTAGGTGATATTTGTAGATGGAGATTCTACATTTTGCATTGTCATTTCCATGCAGTCCCTGTTCTCTCGCCAGTGTTCTCTACCACATTGCACCTGTCCCTTCTCTCTATACACCTGATCGATGCAAGGCAACCCGAAGCTGCTGACCTGAAATAACAGCTTCTTGTTAGGAGATCTAATGGAAGATTTCTGTCTCGTTTCAAAATACGTCTACAGATGATGTATGCCAAGGTTCACAATTATCTTGTGACATATGCATTTAATGGAGAGCACATTCCAGGTCTGCAGCGTTTGAAGTGATTAGGTCTGAGAGGGAGAACGCGGTTGGAAATTGTCACTAATACTGTTATAAGGAGAAGTATAGCTGATAAAGTGTTCTGCTCTTACAACATATAACCCTGGAGAATGAACATTTCAAATAGCAACCATTTAGTCATCAGTATTATAGATGAGCATGGTGAATTCAGGGAACGTGATTTTGTAGCAAAGTTTGCGAATTTGTGTTCGCCAAAATTTCATTGAAATTGTCTGTTAATTGTACCAGGCTGTTAAATTAGCGTAATAAAAATCCCCCTTTAACCTCCCTAGCGGTATTCCCGAGTGTAGCTCGGGGTAAAATGTCAGTACCAAAAGCGGTAACCCCGAGCTACACTTGGGCTTTCCATGCGGCGCTGCATAGGGAGTCCCTGCAGCACTTACCTTGTCCTTTGCTGCCGCGATGTGTCCCCTGCAGCATCCCCGGCCATCTCCTCCGGCTGATGCCGGCATCTGGCTCCTGTGTTCTGGTCCGTGTGACGTTGGGACGTACGGGCGCTGACAGCGGCGGGAAATTTGAAAATGTAAAAAAAATGTCATTTTTTTCAAAACGATTTTACATAGTAAAACATTCCTGTTTCAACCCATTTCACATACATTTTGTCCCGAGTGCTTTGTTCGGCGCCCTGCCTGCATTTTGAATGTTCTTTCTGCCTGGAAACTGAGAAACGTCCATGGTGTCCAAAAAGTGTCCCTTTAGGTCATAAGCGGGTTTAGACCAGCTAGAGAACAGCGATAGTAAATCAGAACTACTTGCAGAATTGAGTGATAATGATTCATGGGAAATTCGTCATCAGACACTGAAAACAATTTTGCGACTTTGCTCAGTGATGTGCGAACTTGGTGCTTTATTTCAAATGTCAGTGTTTTTGGTTTGATTATATTATTGAATTAAATGTATTATTATTATATTATTATTTTTTATGATTATTTATTAAATTATAATTTAATAGACTCTTGTTCGGACAGATTTCAGTGAGTTATTCCTAAATATTACAGCCTACAATAAAAAAAAACTACATATTTCCATGCAAAATAATGGTACCGCTTTCAGCACCAAAAATCTGAAATAATCAGACTGCTAGGGAGGTTAAGTAGAATTCCTGCCTAACACTAGCTATTCTTGAAGATGTCCCCTCCCCCCCCTCCGGTTCCTATCCTGCTTACCCTATGTTAAAAATGTGTATACCTGCTTTTCGGTCTGCAGTGGCAGCTGCAGGGGAGAAAAGGGAGCGCCAACACTGGCTGGGCTATGGGAGACTATGGGTGATGTCACCACTTCTAGAATCCCCAGCCATTGTTTAGTGCTCCATCCTCTCCCCTGCATCTGCTGCTCACTGACACAGGGGAGCCGGAACTGCAAGATCACGTGAGCGGAGTGGACTGAAAAAGATAAGTATACAGGCAGGATAGGCAGAAGAAGGGGGTAGTGGATATTTTAAGAATAGTTAATGTGAGGTAGGAATTCCACTTTAGGGTCTCATTCACTTGGGCGCTGAGGCCCATCGTTACATAGTTAGTCTGGCTGAAAAAAGACAAAAGTCCATCCAGTTCAACCATAGAAAAAAAAAAAAAGTTATAGTCCTATACCCACAGTTGATCCAGAGGAAGGCAAAAAAAAATAGTCTGTGAATGGATCATGTGACTATATAGCAGGTAGCCCATTCATATCTATGGGGACTAGGAGCAGACTCCCCACCCCACCCCACCCCTGTCCCTGCTGTACTTACCTCCAGGTTTGTCAACACCCCTTAACTTAATCCAGCAGTCCAGGGAGTTGAAATCCCTGCTCTTCTCTGCACGCACTTCTGGGACAGACCAGATTTATTCTGATTGGTCCCAAACAGGGGCGGACTGACAACTCATGGGGCCCTCGGGCAATAGGGGATCATGGGGTCCCTGTGTCC